CTTTCAAACTCGTGAGGCGGGAATTCCCGCATATTTCTGGATTTTCACGTGCTAACCCGCATGCGGGAAGCGGGAATCGGAGTTTGAAAGATGTCTACTATTCTCGGTACCCATTTTCAACAAAATAAAAAAGCAGGCTACCCCCGGAGCGTCCACACCAAAACAAGTCACAAATGTAAACGCTACAAGGCACAAGGCACCCGAGTGCAATAATTAATTTTTGCCTCTGGTGCAGTTCGTTGTTTTTCATATTGAACAGTTTCCACCGAGAACCATCGAGCACCACCTCGCTCGGCACTCTCGCAAGCAGTGACAGAACTTGCGTTGTTGGCACAAGGTGCAAGTTTGCCGGTGCGCAACCCAGTGCCGTACGGTGCCGCAAGAAGTCTACAGATCACACACACGCAACCTGTGCTCTAGACTATTTGTGGCAATCAATTTCGCTCTTCCCAGAAGAACGGATAGATTGCGAAGGTATGTATCCAGCCCCAGGTCCAGGCTGTTGCCTCCTCCAAACGGTATGCACAGAACAATGAGAGAAAAAATTTTTTTTTTGCCCGGAGGTGCTTATTCGTGGAACCCCCTCCTACCTTTGGAGCATGCCAATTTGTGCTAATGGGTGTTGTTTGTCGCACAGGAAGGGAGCAGCGAGGTGCGTCATCAGACGGCATTCGAGTTGGCTTGGATACAATGTCCGTAAACGCTCGAGATGCCTACCACCCGAAACTAGTTTTTTTTGTTTGTTTCTCACATTAGCTCTTACATGTAGTCCACAAAAAATGGGGAGCCCGTGGTCTCAAAACCCGGCACATACGACGCCGCGGGGAAACAAACAATAATAGGGTACAAACCACTCGGAAAAAGAAAACAAAATGATAGAAAGAAAATAACAGGTACCGCACCGACCGTTTTAGAAAAGAGCCCTCGTAAACCGATCGAAACAAAACCAAAACAGAAATAAAGGAGGACGCTTCCCACACCCGCCCAAAGCAAAAATCAAAGGGTAACGTATCAGCACCAGGCACTACGCACCAGGGCATGGGAGTAACGGAGCAAACAGGACACAAAGAGGCGGCAGATGGGCAGACAGTCAGACGTACAAAAAAAACAAAGGCAACTGTTGCAGCAAAGCGAGATCAAGGTACCCAACACAGCAAAGTAGGCGGGGAGGTCATGAAAAAAAAGAAACACAGCACAGAGGCCGAAAGCAATACAAAGGACATAATAACATAAAGGAGTAAGCATACAGCAGGGAAGGAGCAGGGAAGGAAACAGGGCGCAACAACATCAGCCTGGTACATAGTTCGCCACAAAAGTGCTGCCTCGACCGCCCTACTCGCTTCTACAGCAGTGCCCGGTCGCCGTTGCTTCCCCCCCACCGCCGCTTCCCCGGCTCTCTTTCTCTCCGGTCCTGAGATGGCCGCACTCCCTGCTTCTGTTTCCCTCGCGCGCTGGCGCTTCGCGGACGCTTCCGCCTCCTGCCTGCGCCATTTCCTCATGAACCATGCCGCCCCGTCCTCGACCTTGTTGTACCGTACCTCCGGATCCGTGGCGCTCTATTTCCATTACCCCCTTCCTTTTCGTCTCTCTTGTTGAATGCCACGAGGTCCTCTCCTAGACGAGACACCCAGTCGCTCTCCTGCCCGCCCCGGTATCCCACGCCCCCCGCCATCGCTCCTAACAGCATGCGCTTGGGGAGGCGGCTGTCCTCCATGCGCATAACAAAGCCCGCGAAACACAGTCTCCGTTTGTTTGCGCACGGTGGCCTCGATAGTTTCCTCGCAGCCTGCCTGGATGAGGGCCTGGGCATAGGACAGGGGGCGGTCTGAGTGTNCCGGTCCTGAGATGGCCGCACTCCCTGCTTCTGTTTCCCTCGCGCGCTGGCGCTTCGCGGACGCTTCCGCCTCCTGCCTGCGCCATTTCCTCATGAACCATGCCGCCCCGTCCTCGACCTTGTTGTACCGTACCTCCGGATCCGTGGCGCTCTATTTCCATTACCCCCTTCCTTTTCGTCTCTCTTGTTGAATGCCACGAGGTCCTCTCCTAGACGAGACACCCAGTCGCTCTCCTGCCCGCCCCGGTATCCCACGCCCCCCGCCATCGCTCCTAACAGCATGCGCTTGGGGAGGCGGCTGTCCTCCATGCGCATAACAAAGCCCGCGAAACACAGTCTCCGTTTGTTTGCGCACGGTGGCCTCGATAGTTTCCTCGCAGCCTGCCTGGATGAGGGCCTGGGCATAGGACAGGGGGCGGTCTGAGTGTTTCCGCTTGCTCCAGCCGATGCACCGTGTGAGGAACTGGCGGTGGGTCCCATTGAGCTTCGTGTAGTGCTCCGCTGTTAGGCTCCACGAGGCGCACCCATACAGGTCTCCTGGAGAGTCTCCTCCACCACTTCAGCCTGGAGTAGCCGGATCTTGATTGAGCTGGCGGTTGGCCCGTCGCCTCTGTCGTACATCGAAGCACTGCTGTTCCGGCGGTAGCACTTCCACGCTCGGCAGCTGCGGCTCGTGATCTCCCGGTCGGCCTTCCCGTCCGCGGAGATGGTACGTCCGAGGTACACAAACCGATCTGTCTGCTTGTACGTCTGGCCGGCGGTGCTGACCGTGAACGGGCGTTCCTCGATCCCTTTCGGCAGCATGCACATGATATCCGTCTTTTGCTCCGATACCATCATCAGTCCGAACAGGCCGGCCACGCGCACGATGACCGACATCATCTTCTCGAGACTCTCCGGCGAGCGCGAGACGATGGCCGCGTCGTCAGCGTAGAGCATGGCCCACAAGGCCTCCGCGTCCGTCACCACCGTCGTCTTCTTCCCCGCCGACCTGCCCTTCTTGCCCGTGTACTCCACTTGTGTCCCGATCTTGACCATGTCCGCCGTCACCTTGGGGTCCTTGTCGAACTCGGCCACGGCGACCATGAGCATCGCGGCAAAGAACAAGTTGAACAGCAGCGGGGCCAGGTTGCATCCCTGTCGGAGGCCTTGGCCCACGTCGAACCATTCCGAGTACTGCCCGTCGTCCGTTCGGACGCGCGCCCTCATGTCCTCGTGGATTTGGCGAATAACCGCCAGCATCTTCGGGGGCACGCCGAAGCGTCGGAGCACGTCCCACAGTAGGTCTCGGTCCACCGAATCGTATGCCTTGGTGAGGTCGACGAAGCACGCGAACACCGCAGTACTCTTCTTCCTCGCGAGCTCATGGAGCCGCTGGATGGCGAACAGCATGTCGAGCGTCGACCGGTGTAGGGTGCTGAATCTTTTCGATCTTTGGGAAGAAATATGCAAAAGTGGGGGTGTGGTGCGTGTCCCACGCACACAGGCTCTACATTTGAGACAGAAACTGAAAAAAAACTTTCGGTGAGTGCGCATGTATCTTGTTGCCATGCAGGCGCAGCAGCCCATGGACGGCAGCAGACAGAATAAAAGGCGGCACTACGTTAACTGGGAAAAAACATCCTTCACTAGGTGCGTCATGCAGCGTTGTCAGCAAGATAAGCTTTTCATTCTTCTTGTGTGTACGGAAACGCAACAGCTGCTGTGCTGCATATGCTCGACACGAAACCCGTAAAAACGGGACTTCCCCACCCGGACAGGTTTTCAGCCCCCAGACATGCCGACTGGCCTGCTTATCCACACAATGCTTTAGAAATCTCTCTCTCTCTCTCTCTCATGATCCCTTCTCATCCTTCCGGTTGTACAACAAACCAACGGCCACCAGCACTTTATACTTCTTTACTCCTTGATTATGTCCTTTGTGTTGTTGCCGTCGGCCTCTCTCTGTGCTGTGTTTCTTTTTTTTTTTCATGTCCTCCCTCCCTATTCTGCTGTGTTGGGTACCTTGATCCCGCTTTTGCTGTTGCTTTTGTTTTTGTACATCTGGCTGTCTGCCCATCTGCCGCCTCTTTGTCCTGTTTGCTCCGTTACTCCTATGCCCTGGTGCGTAGTGCCTGGTGCTGGTACGTTACCCTTTGATTTTTGGGTGTGGGAAGCGTCCTTCTATATTTTTGTTATATTTTTGTTTAATATTGATCGGTTTCCGAGGGCACTTTTCTCGAACGATCGGTGCGGTACCTGTTATTTTTAGTATTTTCTTTTCATCAATTTGTGTTCTTTTTCCGAGTGGTTTGTACCCTATTTGTGTTTTGTTTCCCCGCGGCGTCGTATGTGCCGGGTTTTGAGACCACGGGCTCCCCATTTTTTGTGGACTATAGAGCTAANNNCGGTAAAGACGAATAGTTTCCACGAGTTTTTCAATGAGCAGCAAGAAATGGTTCCCAACCTCTGAAAAATTGTACCAACACCCGTTACGTCACAAGGATCACGAAACTGTACTTATTTTCCCATTTGGATGTCGTGGTGATGACTTACTGATGAATTAGTGGCCAAAATTGGGTGAAAATCGCGTCTGCGGGACCCCCGAGCAAGTTGCAAACGCCCCCGAATCGTATAAAATTTTCAGGTTAGTGTAATGTTGTGTTGTACATCAAGAATCCGTCGTCAGAATTTCGATCAGGATCGATGCGGCCGTGATACAACTACGCACTGATATACATGCGCGAAAGCAGGGATAACCTGGAATTACTAGGAATTACACTGAAATATCCCCCCGCCCGCAACACTTTCTTTATGTTGATTCAATCTCTCCTGACTTCGAATTAGGGTAATTTTGGGGTGGGGATCACAAATATATTGTTGGAATGTCCTAGTTTTGATTTGCAATGGACTTTCAGCTGCTCAAAAGCTGACAGTAGCTGAGCAATTTCAAAATTCCTGGGATTTTGGATTCTCGGTTCCCACGTCGAGTTTTTGTCTGATCAACTTTCTGAGTGGCTCTACCCCCCCTAAATCGGCCAAGCGGAATCGATTGCCGAGGAGAAATGGAGGCGCCGAAATCGGCAACGCGGTGAAAAAAAAACAATCAAGGCGATCCGATCACATGTTTTTTTGTTTCTCTTTTCTTTATGCTTTGAAACGTCGTTTTAGACATGTATCCAAAAACGGTGTTTCATTCGAGTTTTTCCTCGCCGCGGGAGAGACAACTCGTCTTTACCGCGGAACACCCCTAATGTGAGAAACAACAACAACAACAACAACTCTTGTCAGCCACACCCTCAACCGTGCAGCCAAATCACGTGCGCCCTGCCCGAGATCGAAAACAACAAAAATCCATCCTTGAGCGAGGGCGAGCGCTGCGCCGGTTGCGTCCACGTGCCTCTTCGCATTCCATTCAGACTGTATGGGCGAGATTTTTCTGTACACGGGAGAAGAGGCTGTTGACAACAGCCCCCATGTTGGACATAACCTCCAGCCCGTCCGTGAAAACCTAAAATGGTTGATTTGGCAACGGCGGCACAGGAAGAGCACATCACGGGGTCGTGAGGGACAGAAGCAAACTCTCGTTGGAGACGCTACTACAGATCATTGCAAGGCCCCGAGCGTGCCTGCGTATAGCGGACATTCAACATGACGGTATCGGGGGGAGTGGGAACGCCAAGAGGCAACGAACAGCACGATTGGCATCGCTATCAAATCAGACAATTCAAAGAGACGCAGGCGCTTGGGGGGGGCAACCTCCAGTGCTCTTCGATCAGCACTTGCTGGAACAAGACACAGCCTCGTTTTGATACCAAAAACACGCATTTGTCGGGGCATCTCCAATGTTCCCCACAGGCCCATACGTTGTCTCTTCCTGTGCTACACTGCCACCTTTCGAAAGGAAGATATACAACCAACATCCGACGACGTTTTCCTCATTTACAAAAAAGTGCACTTCCAGAGCATATTCGCGCTCATCTTCAACCGTAGCAAGCTTGCGTACAACCACGAGATGGACCTTAGTGAGCGGAACAAAAGCCGACAACTTTTAATTCGGCAAACAACCAGTTCGCAAAACCCAAGACGTAGAAACATTGGGCGAGAGAACCACAAGGAAGCCGAAACACAAGAAAGCGAAACAGCGGCCGCAGCCGCAGCAATAGCAGAGCAGTAGTACAAACAGCGCATGCCAAGCAGCCTCCGATGAAACTCACCTTGTCCTCGACGGCCTCCTCGTAGATGACGAGCTGTCCCTTACCCTGGTCCAGGATGCCCAGCAGCTTCTTGTCCAAGATCATCTGGCTAAGCTTCAGCTCCACCTTATCCACCGGCAGCTTGATCAGCTCCGCCACGTGGTCGAGCTCTACGCAGCTGAACGGCTGCGGCGTTCGTTTCGGGGCGGGGGCGGCGGCGACGAAGAAAGGCTATATTTACCACAAGGATGGCGGTGGCGGTGGTCGAGGCACAGGAGGAGAGCAGCAGAGGTACACGACAGGAGGAGCAGCAGCCAAACCTCCACTACTGTTTCGTTCTTCTCGTCGTTAACGTTTGCATCTGACTTCAACGCCGATGTGAGCCTCCACGAAACGGGTAGCCGGAGGTCACAAGCCACGCACTAACCGCACTTTCACGTCAAAAGCCACAAGCCACGCAAACGCGTCATTAGGACGATCGATTGCTCCGCACGCACGACGAGAGACTTGCGGACGCAGGACGTATCCTACCTGAATTATTTTCAGCAAGTTCGACTCCAGGAGCTGATCGTAGAGGATCCCGAGGTGGTGCTTGATGAGCAGGTCCTTCTCCAGAGTCTTCCCGTGGACCGACACCGCCGCGTCGAACTCTTCCAAGGACCTTTATTGAGCAAAGAAAAAGGAAGGGTCGCAGCAGAACAGGTGTGGTTGTAGGTTGATGACGGAAGCAAGCACCTGTTCTGCAGCGGTCGCAGGGAAAGGATGGGACGTACACACGCACCATCGTTAAATGAACTGGGGGTGTAGAAGAACCTCCTTGTCTCCTTGTACATGTAGCAGGGTGGTGAGTACATTCCAGAATGGCCCGATCTCACTGCTCAAACAGCCAAGCAATGGAAAAAACTCGACGTCGACAAGTTTCAAACATCACAGCAGGTCTCAAAGCAGGGGTGCCGTTGCTGCGGCAACAACAGCTCGAGCACATCGAGCAACCTGCCACCGGCGGCGGGCTAAAGTGGTTAACCCTAATTCGAAACACAAACGCGAACACACAAAAAGGCACGTGCATCTCTCTTCATCTGCAAACATTTCTGACTGCAATTCCGAGAATAGCCACCGTGACCGCCTCTCACATGGTCCCAGACGGTGGCATGCAGGAGCGCGATCCGTTTTACGTCGCACTGAGGGTGGAGGCTTCTCATTAGTCAGCCGGTTAGCGCGGTCGATGCACAAACGCACCCATGCACACCTGTTCTTGGCCGACTTCGCGACTTCCGACATGGCGTCAAGTTCCGCCCCGGTGTGCTTCACGCCCCACTTCCCCGCCAAAATCGCCCCAACTTCGCTCGCCGATCCTTGCAGCACCTTGCACAACAGCATGTACTGCACCGCGTAGAGAGGGCGAGGGCGAGGGTGGCATCTTGAAATGTGAGAGAGCCATTGAACCTATGCGTGGCGAGAGCGACCACTAACGGTTGCACCGTGGTACGGTCTAGTAAGCACGGAATAGAGCAACACCATCGTCACGAATTGGAACACTACAAAACAGAACAACACCCGATCGCTGGAGATGTGCTCCAAGGCACTGCCGGAACGGTCCTTCATCTCAGAAAATAAGCCCAAACGTTCAATGAAAAATCCACGTATTCTCTGTCCCACATCGTGGTTCTGACGTCCAAGGGTCTTGACTAGGGAATTCGATGTCTGCAAACTTTGACTTGCCAATGACCGTTGACAAACGACAAACCTTGAGAGATCGCAGCGCCCGCGAGTCCTCCTGTGAGTCGAAGGCCTCGTACGACTCCAAGAAGTAGGAGAAGGACGTCTTGTAGTCGCCCTCCTCGCAGTGGAGTGTCCCCGACATGTCGTCAAGCTCCGCCTGTTTCAAAGTACCAGGCAAGCGGTCAGTTGCCTCACAAACACAACGAGATGAGAAAACACGGGGTGATACGCTTCGACAAAACGTGAAGCTCCGGCCCAGCAGAGCTAGTGCTACTTAGTGCGTGCACACACCAAAACATCATGCAGGGGGGAATTCCGGGCAGCGTTGGCCGAAGAAAAGGAAGGCTTTTGCCTCTTCCAAAACACCATCCTCTTCCAAAACATCAAACGGAAGCTTTTCATAGCACTCCAGTCCGGGACCACCCACGTTGGTTATGCGACCTCGCCGCGGCAGACAAGACTCAAGAGCGCATACCACAGCAGTGCCCACCATTACAGCCGACGCGGTCTGAATATAATGCATCAACCAACCGCACCTGCATGATCGGTGAGATGTAGATGGAGTTCCCCGCGGTTCTTGCGGCGGTAAGGGCCGCCTTGGCCTTGGGAGTGTTTCTCAGGGCGTTGTGCACCCTGGCCTCGACGAGGTGCGTCTCCACGAGGAGCTGCTTGTCATCCATGCGCTTCAGCTCACGGAGGAGCTTGTTCAGTAGCGCCACCGCGTTCTGGTACTTGCCTTGCTCGAACAGCTGGATAAGAAGCGTGGCATATTCCCGAGGACGAGACGGTAAGGCGGGAGCAGCACCCCCCGTGGTGCGAGAAGCATGGCTACGCGAAGAAGGCTGGATGGAGACTATGGGACACCAAGCGACGCCGAAAACAGTACCGGGCCGCTGTGGCGGTAACAATAGTCTTCCACGGCACGTCAAGCGAGGAGAAAGGAGCGGACACTTGCGTTTGATATCCTTGTTCTTCGGCCGATCGGAATGTCCGTTCAAGCCATACTGTCATGTTTCTCATCGTCCGAGGTTAAGAAAGATATCCTCACTCTCCTTGTAGGCTTCCCCTTCTTTAACTTCTCGACGGAGTCATTCTTGGTCCTTCTAGAAGAATAAACCTTCGAGTGGCGCAACTTTTCTGGGAGTTTCGTTCAAGTACGGACAAAAGCACACGCGTGCGATCGATGTTGCAGCTCCATTGCTCCACAAACAACAAGCTGCCGATGCCGAAAGGGCGGTTCTGGAAAGTCCTCGGCGAGACCATTCCTTACACGTGTCCGTCGGTTTCCGCACCCTCTTTGCTGTGGAGCAATCGATGCCTAGAAACCTGTAACACGCAAACTCCGGTCGCCCGCACGTTTTATGGTATTGCTTTTATATTGCGCAATACGGAAGAGGAGGTAGGAGAACAAGGACAGGATGGTGTTGGAATGGTAACACAGCGACGACAAGGCAACACCGTTCCCGAAATAACTGGAGTCTGTATCTACCGGCAATACGCCATGCCCAGCGAAAGGCAACGATAAAAAAGCTCGCACGGGAGGGACTTGGCTTGTATGGATATGTTGATATCCCACCCTGTTGCTGCTGCAGCACTACTGTATTACCACACTGGTGGAGCAATAAACCCCGGGCACAGTACAAGTATATCCAGCGGTACAACCACAAGCTGGTTGCCACCAAGGCTGACTGTTCTGGCAAGCCTCTCTCGCTCCCGATCTCGGTTTCTTTGTCCATTTCTCATCGTCCCCCCACAACACCCATCTGTACATGCTTCGCAACCAACATCCCCACCCCTTCTCTCTGTATCTGTCTCGTTCAACGCATGTCGATAGCTCGCAAGATCGATCATTGTCTCTCACCAGACCAGCTTGTCGGCTCTGGATGCGTTGCCTCAAAAAGTTCCGCTTCTCCGTCTTGCACCACGCCACCACCTGGCGGCACAGGGCATCCTGCAGCTCCAAAGAGTCCGGGACCTTTGACACGATATCGATGATCGTGCGGACGATCTTGGCCGTTCGGGCCTTAGGGATCGTTCCGAAGAACGGCGACGCCGTCTTGAGGAGGTCCACCACATCCGAAAACCTATCATATGTTGGACACGTGCGGGGAAAGGGTGAGCGTTACGCCGTAACCCCGGTCCCTTACTCAAAGGCCGTCAGAAGGACGTTGCCTTCGCGAACGCCACACTCAACAACAACATGGAAACATTGCGGTGCAGTTGTTTTTTGCAAACATCCAACCACACAAAGGTGTGGGAATGGATGCGGCTAGTGATCGCGAAGGATGAAGTCGTCCTTCTTCGACGAGCACGGCATCTGTCCGCCCTGAGAAAAAGGTATGTGTCATTTGTCATCCCTTACCCTTACAAGCTTATGTGTAGCTTGGTTTCAGCTTGAATTGATTGTGGTTATGTGCCAATCTATCCGCAGACTTTCCAAATCTGCTATGCAAACACACCAAGCACAATCTCAGCTCTCGCGGAGTCGAAGTTTCCAGACGTTGGAATTCCGACTCGCGTATAGTTCCTTGGCGCAAGAGGTTAAAATTTTGACCAACGCTGCTGGACGTAGGATCAATTTGTTTCGTCACCACATGCCAACTACGGCCGAGCGGACTCAGACAAAAAGGTCATGGTACGGCGTGAGCGACTCCTCCGTGGGCACTAACTGCTTTCCCACACGAATCTCCACGGCTCTGTTCGCAGCAGTGCCAAAAGTCGCCGTTTCACATGTACAAGACTACGTGAAGTACTGTTGTACATCGAGGCATTGAACATATTGCCGTAAGACCTGATATGCACACAACATGAGCGATGTACCACCATGGGTAAATACGGGAGCCAGGAGAGGGGGCCTCGAGCAGCAACGTACCTCGTATGACATGTATGTATATGTGACGCGAAAGAGCAACACGGCATCTAATGAGAACGCTGTGCTTGTGCACCCCTTGCGCAAGGCTGCTGGACAACTACAGCAGTACCACGCAGGCATCCCACGGCAATTAGGCAAACTGTCTATTCGCCAGATTTAGAACAAAAGAGGAGAATGGACAACGTCTAGCAACACCAGCAGTGGCGATTCCACCCAACAAACGACCGAAGCACGCACCGCCTGGAATCCGCGTATGCCTTGGCCAGCCCGTAGATGGCCTCCTCCTTCACTTTCCCCACGCTCTCCGACGGCCCGGCCGCGTCTGTGCACACGTAGTCGAGCACCTCGCGGTAGCCCAGTATCGCCGCCGCCTGGTCTCCCGTTTCGCCGAGCGCGGCCGTGATCTCGTCGAGCTTCTTTCGCAGATCTCTCCCCTCGTCATACTCCTCGACGGCGTCCCCGTCCACGTCCATCCCGACAACCTCTGGTTGCCACATCTCGACCTATCTGCTGTGGCCTTCTCTCTCGGGAGGGCTACCTGGCAAACTGGGAGACCGCAGGAGCAAAAACCTCTCCTGTGCAATGTTTTGGGGATTCCGTCTTCGCTACTCCACACACACTGCTGATGCAATCACTCCAGTGCTATCGAAGATGCTGATAGTGTACTTAGCGCTTTGCTCGCGGTCTTGCAGTGGCCCTGTCGCTGGTGCGATCATCTCCGTTTTCGACAGTGTTCCTCAGATCTACACAATGCGGAGCCCCCTTCCATTCACGGAGCCCCTACCCGTGGACCAACGCGTGTACACGCGGTGTACACCATACCACCATCCTGCCACGGCGCTACTACCCCAAGCTATCGACAGGACGGGAGAGTTGGCACCAGCTCGCCGGGGATTGCTCACTGTTACAGCAACGCCGTCGCTAGACTTGAGCTGTTTTCAAAAGTGAGCTGAATCAAGATTGGTGTGGCTGGATTTGGCGCGAGAGGGAGCCTCTGACATTCGATCTGACAATCGAGATACGAGGCATCAAAGCCGCGTATCACCACCACAATTGTCTTGCGTCGAAAGTGGCCAGTAGCCAGTGCTGACGAACCTTGGCGATTAATCCTGATAGTTATTGCTTCAGTCGCACAGGACGCCAAACGATTTTGCTGTGATTTCCGTTTTTGCACACGCTTTCAACACCCTCCTAGTCTATGCATACCCCTTGCTCTCAAGTCTAACCTCGGTACCGCTCTCTTTCTCTCCCTCTCTCTGCCCTGCCTTTCTTGTTGCGATGCACGGCACCGCGTGCAACCAGTGTCTGTCACAGGCAATGCCGGCATCGGTATGCCCATCATCCTTCTGCACGACGCGGAAGGGGGTATCATTACCGTAGAGCTGAAGAACGGCGAGGTGTGCCGAGGAGTGCTGGACGAGGCGGAGGATAGCATGAACCTCGTGCTCAAGGTGCGCGTGTGTTCACCCCTGCTGCTGCAAAGGACAGCAGCAGCAGTGGACAATAGACCACAATGACCGACCGACAGATAGACCACTAGGCAAAGTGTAGTGCCCAGGAGCCAGACAAACGGTCGTTCGAAGGGTAGTGGATGGCACGCCTCGTTGTACAAGTGTGTTAGCTGACAAAGACCATCCTGAGCACGTCATGGCAGCTTTTCGAACGGCAGTTGCATCGCTCTTTGCAAGCAGACATTCATGTGGTGGAAGCAACAGCGTAGGGCAAAGCATAGATTTAATTCGGTGATGGAAGTCGAAGGCGGGATGCCGCATCATCCCGCCGCAAGCGCTCAAGAAAATAACGAAATGTCGCTACGCTGCCGGGTGGCTGATTGATTTCTAGGGAGTCGGGACGAATTTCAATTTTTTATTATCATGTAGCATACCTCTCCTAGAGTACCATTCCCACGCCAGTGCTGCGTTTTGCTGATCTTCCATGCCCGTGCTTTTTTGGTGGCCGTGCGATACGTGATGGATATGAGTTTGATTTATCAGGTGAGGATTTCGCAACGTGATTTCGATGGCAATTTTGTTGGTCGAAGCTCCACGCTTCGCACCAGCCACAGTGCTCCTTCCACCCACCCACCCCCGGATTATTTAGAGTGCCCTTGTTGCAAGCTACAGATGAGATGGAACATGCAGACCAATGAGACGAACACAACATATGAACGAACAAACAAAATTGAATCGCTCTGGCCCAAAATCAGCACACACGCTTGAAGGTAGAATCACATTAGTAACCTGCTGTATTCCGCTCCTACCCGCCACGGGCACGCCCTCTAACGCCCTCTAACACGCCCACGCAGGACTGTGTGAAGACCAACATACGGGGGAAGACAAGTACCTTGCAACAGCTCTACATACGCGGGAACCAGATTGTATTTTGTATCGTGCCAAACATGCTGCGGAATGCGCCCATGTTCGCGAGGATCAAGCAGTGGAGAAAGTACAAGGGGCATCCCCCCGTGCTGGCATCAGAGGGGGCGAAGGGACAGCGAGCCGCGATCATCCGCAAAGGTCAAACCAAGCGAAACGAACTGTTGAAATTTTTCAAGTCATGTTTTCCTGCCCCCCCCCCCCCCCCCCCCCCCCCCCCCCCCCCCCCCCCCCCCCCCNACACTGAGGAATCCCACCCCGCGGTCAGGGAGTACAGTACGTCTCTCTTTCAGTGGATGGACTTGCTTGAGTCTGTTGTCGACTTGCCGCGATATTCAGCGGTGTGCGAGATTTTATCGCCACCGCAGCAGCTTTCGCTCCCAAAAGTTTCGGCCGATTGCGGGGTTCCCGCTGCCATGGTACGGTACCACGGTCTAGAGTGAATACATCGGAAACACCGAACCATTTTCTCGATCCAGCAACGCATGGGTTTTTCCTCCCGCCCTTTTGTGGTGCGCCTGAAATCCTCAACATTCAACCTTTTGCTCACCCTCTCGTCTGAATATAACTGCGCAACCCTTCCACAGCTGCTATGGGTGGCGGGAGAGGTGACGGAGGAGGGCGAGGATTTGGAGGGGGTCCGCCTTTCGGCGGAGGGCGGGATGGAGGGGGGCGCGGGCGAGGATCTGGAGGTTACGGGGGGAGCAATGCCGGTGTATACGGTCCCGGTGGCAGCGGTGGCGGCGGAGGTTTTGGGGGGGGTAGGGGGGCATCACCATTCCAGCGGTGATGTTTCTGTTGGGGTGAGCGGTGACGCGGGAGAAAGGCCTTGCGCACCTTACCAGGGAACGAGGATTCTACAACAGCCGTTGGGATCGCATGGTGTACGTGTTGTATTGCGTCTCCGCGGGGTAGAATTGGTTTGAGGCGAACCGACCACTGGCATGTACTCTCCGTGTCTTGCTTGGCAGGCGTTTTCGTATTTGTTATTTTTGCCAACACGTTGCAGTCTAATTTGTACCGACAGCGGTGGTAGCCTGGCCGCATGCTGTAGAGAGACGGATTTTTCAGCGACAGTTAAGTGTTCGGGCTAAGCGCGCTGCTCTGTCGTAGAAGACGGTTGTTTCCACAAATGATTGATGGGGCACGTTGATGCCGAGCTTGGTCGTTTGAACCCGTTGTGACCAGCCTTGGGAATCTCAGCGTCTGGCAGTTTGGCAATTTGACGTCGAAAAAAGTAGAGCTCTCGGGACGTTATTGCCGCCAATTGTGTGTTTTATGCATTACCAAGCAGAAGAGCGTGGGATTCTTTTGTGAATACATTTTTTTCCATCCAGAACATTACATGTGCCATGTGTAATTGACTGCTGCTGCTGCTACTACTACTGACGATTTTGGCGAGAACTTGAAAGCAGCGTAGACGCTCCATTCTGGCGGGGGAAACCATTGGTGTCTACAAATACCCGCTGCACTCAAGCTCGCTATTCTTTGGCGTAAAATGAAAATGCGAACATGGCCGGACAGCGTGACAGCCGCGTTTGCTCGAGCAAAAGCGCTTCAGGACCATGACTGCTTGGGAGAGAACACGAAACACTGTGAATTCTTGTTGGGAGCCAAGCTGGCAGATGCCTCCCGCTCCCGCTCATACAAGAGCCTCAAGATCCAAGAAACCAAAAGGGCCTCGTCTCTGCTTCCCACGAGTTGCGAAAGCTCTTGACACCCATTCCACCCAGCGCAGCGATCGACTTCGCAGAGTCCGTTCCCATGCGCTTTTACTGCCCCAACTATTTGTCGATTTTATTCGTGGTTCTCCGGTGATAGATCCATCTTCGTACAGGGTTTCAACTTCATTTGGCTCGTACAAACTCCGAAACGCGTGTCCGCTTGCGGAAAAATTTCTGCAGAATGTATTGACACTGACGGTACAGCCTATCGTCCACTCCGCAACCCCCACCGCAACTTTCAGCGCAAACCCGACCACACAAGCTTTGATCAGGGACAACACCACGAAAGCAACGTCCAGCGACGAACTTGACGACAAGGGTAACCACGCCATGCAATAGACAACTCGAAAATAAGAGTTCGCTCGTTGCAGAACACTACGTTGGCGCCAACGGTGTTGCATAACGTCCATGTCTAGTCTACACCCAACCCACGAACCTACACATCCCAAACAAGACACCTCTTTTGTCTATACAGCTGTTCACGAAAAACACAAAAAAAATCGGAGAGACCCGCCCATGCTGCCCATCTGAAAAACTCAACAGCCCACGCCAGCACGATACCGACAACCAAATGTTCAAGTGATCTTTTGTTCTAAGATGAAGCAGGCAGGAACAAACAGCAGTCACGCAGCTCCGTACTGCAAACGCACAAAAACAACGTACGCGTACATAGCTCTCACTGCTACAATAGCGGCATGCCCTTTACACGCCGGCACTCTCTACAAGGTGTCACAAAGGGAACGAGGAAGTACATCACTACCATACCACATAACTTATCCTTCGGCATCTACTCTGAGAACCAGCGAAACTCGGGAGGGAACTCATGGCCGAGGATATCGGACAACATGGAGTACTGACAACGGTGCTAGGGTCAGTTGGCCTCTCACGGACGGACGGTGCATGTTGCCCACGCTTCCATCTCAGGTCTACTCCAGAATCCAGACAACACGATGCGGGCCCCACCGACGTGCACGCATCTACACCAAATCGGCGAGCACACCTAAAAGAAGCCTTCGAAACAGAACAATAACACTCTTGAGCAGACCCCCCGGCAATTGACCGCCGTGGTTCAGATTGGTGGCTCCACAAGCAACACCGGCTGAGTTAGCACTGCCAGTGTACGCCGATCCCTCCCCACCGACGCACGGCATGGCGTCACTGTTCCAGGTTGGATAACCTGTGACAGGCCCCACTTTCTACCGCTATGGTTTCACGACCCTCGGATAAACTTACCCTCTCTTGCGCGCATCAATACACTCGTACCGAGAAGCTCAAAGCGTGCGTGTGGCCTTCACACGTATCCACCCACCCTCTGCATCTTGCGTTACCGCGGAGAGTCATTCGTCCATTTCGGAGGAGGCGGCGGCGGCGGCCTCCGCGGTTCCTTGTTCGCTTAATCTTGGTGGTGTTGGCGGAATTAACGCAACACTCGGCTCGAGCGCCGGGATGGCCGCCTGATACTCCGGGCCAACGTTAATGTGAGCATCCGCGTGCGGCGCCAGGTAACGCTTGTCTGGAGCAACAACGGACAACACGGACGGACATTTGGTCAAGTAGGAAGCGTATCAAGTCTTGCAGCTGCTAATTTCTGCGCCATCTGGCACAGGATCGCCGGGGTCGGAGCGCGAACAACGGAGGGCAAGCGGGGTAAGGAATTGTCTCCGGCGTTGGGACGCTGTCGGAAATATTTGGTGACAACACACAAAGGTTGAACATACGCAGGTGTGTATGAAGTGTGAAGCCGCATGCTTCTTCCCAACTCAACATGTGTAGAACGAGAGCGAACATGACTCACATTGCTTTGCCCTAGCCGGAGGCCGTTCCTCGGAAACATCCATTCCTTCCATGACTTCCAGTTACCGTTGGTGAAATCCTTCGCACGCGCGTGGGAGAGCGAGAGGCCGTGAGAAGTGAGAGAGGTTGCCGCAGGGTGCGTTGCGGCGCGGCAGGTGGCGACCTGGCGGCCGGTCTGTTCGTAGATATCCATCATGCGAAACCCCCAGCTTCCACATACCCCTACCCTACAGCTCGTGGACCCCCCCCCCAGCCCGCAATCCACAATTGCCCGCAAGTGCCGCCGCGGCTCTGGGGTCACCTTAGTGTTAGTCTTGCTCGCTGCCGAACAACGAGACATACACCGCGTAATCATGAGGAAGCGAGGGGTAGACCTGCCTATGGCAAGCGGAGGAAGATCTCCGACCCCGCCACGGCGTCAGTTGAACATGCCGGATGCCACTCCAGCAAATGTTTTCTCCTTCACATGGGTGTTGTGCGGCTTTGCTTTGATCTGCATCGGGTACGGCCATTGCTCTCGGCACTCGGAGCAATCACGACTGTACTGCGCAGAGGATGTGTGCCGGTTCTCCAGAGACTCGATGGAAAACCGAAGGTGATAATAGCTGTCTTCAGCTTCCGGTTGATATGATTGTGGTTTTTGGGCAACCACAAGTAGCGAGGCCACCGACGTCCACAAAGCTGTGTCGGCTGTTGTTATCTGTTGCCAACGCCGCCCTGACCAGCAGTGTGTTTTGTTTCGTCCCACCGCCACCACATCAAGGGTTTCGTTGCCTACATACTATGCACGATTCCCTGCCCTCATTTGTAAACAGAAACCACCCGTTCGCATGTAGGTTCAATGTATCCAAGCTACGATCACACGTCGAATGTGAGCTTGAGGTATTAACTGCTGTAGACCACTACCATTTCGTACAAACGAGTTCAGTACAACGCGAGTCCAACCTCTGATCCGGCTTGACAGAACGTTGGACCCCCTCGGTTGCAATAGCGCTCCACGGCAGAGTATCGTCATCCGTGGTGAGATGAGATGTTTAGGGAGACACAGATAGAAGATCTACGGTAGTCTACATGCCTGCCTCGATTATTGAATTCTGGTCCTCTTGGAGTGTCAGTGTTTCAGCGACGAACGAATCGCCGATAGACCACTTCTACCAATACATACATGCATGCAGCTCCTCCTGGGGGGGGAGCGCTCACCGCCCAGCACCACCGAACATTCACATCGATGAGAGTGTAACAGACTATTCATGTGTATAGCACCATCAAAGCTCGTATCATCAGAGGCAGCAACGGCCAGGGGTACTCGTGGCGCAAGAACCATACAGATTATTCTACACTGAAGCGGATACAGCAGTCAGTCTAGAGTGGCTCGGAACAAGCCAATTTGACCATCTCAAATCCAACTTTCTCGGTGAAGATACGCTGGGGAGTAGACTACAACAGAGTGTCGATCTCCTCTTCGGCGACCCAGGAAACGCCTGGCTTGAGCAATTTCCACATCCTTATTTTTCAGTACAGTACGAGTATGCCATCGAGAAAATGCGTCTGCACACGTTGCGCGCATGCGTACAATGGGAGTAGCTCCAGTAAGGGTTTGTGACCCTTGTGATGCAGGTTCACAGGTTAGCGGTTCGCGCTAAGAGTTGGAGGTGGAATAGTTTTTTGTGGTGGTTGCACAAAAGTACCTACAGTAGGCTCGTGCGTCTGTTACAGAAGGACGGGGGGTGGTCCATCATCACCAGCTAGAGAGGGGGGGGTATCCATCATTATTCGCTAGTGGGGGGGGGTGGCGTCCATCATCAGCTAGCGAGGGGGGTGGTATCCATCGTCAGCCGTGAGGGGGGGGTGCTATCCATCGTCATCAGCTAGCGAGGAAAAAAAAAACGTTGAAAAATTCCCCGGCTGGTGGTGCTGCTGCTGATTGTTTGAACAGGACGCTTCCGCCACCGCTTTAGATAACAGCAACAGCAGCAGCAGCAGAGGCGACACACCCTCTCGCCCACAATGAGTGTAGAGAGGTGCACAGCACAGCAGTGGTACTACATCGTCTAGGAACGAGCGTGATGTGTTACTGGTCCCGTGCTGTGATGTATGTGTGCCTCTCTCCAGAGCAGAGTCAGAGGCCGCTCCCTCCCGCCGCGTCGCAACACAATACGAACAACCAACCGATGGACCCACAGAGACCCAATCAATATCTCTCCTCTCGCTTCCTCCGCCGAAAGCTAGCAGCAGCAGTAGTATAGGGCACACCCTGCTCCCGTCCCGCTCTCGCTGTGTGGTGTGTGCAACACACGCTGGTTGGTGGGACTCCCTCTCTCTCCAGAGAAAAGGCGAAAAGGCCGGCAGCGTTGAACAACAACAATCAACGGAGACAACAACAACAACATCATCAGCGATGAACCCCAGACCAACCAAACGTTCCCCGCTTCCTCCGCCGTCGC